CACAACAAGATGTTTTGGGGATTGTCTAAATGACTCAACTCTGGCTGCTCTTGTAATGAGTAAGATGTCTTCCTGCTGTTTTTCTCATGGAATGAAGTTTCAAAAACAAAACATTACAAACCTGAATGGCAAGCTATGAGATTGTGTGTGTGTGTGTGTGTCCCAGATTCTACTCCTGCCCTATGGCTAGCTCCCTACAGGTCTAAGTTTCTTCACCAATTCAAAATCATACCATGTGTTCTCTACAATGTCTTAAACTCAATAATCCTGTTACACAGACATCCACAGCCTGGGAACTTTGCTGACAATACACATTCATGCTTTCTAGAGATGAGGAGCACCACCAGATACTGAAAGGACATTTCTACCCTCAATCTGTGCCAAGGAGACTTATGGTGCTTAAGCAAGGCTTTAATGGTGCCAAACACATCAGTAAGTGACACTATAGTATGCTTATTAAAATTCTGCAGCAGAAGCGTGGGTGGTAGTGGTGCACGCCTTTAATCCCAGCACTCGGAGGCAGAGGCAGGCAGATTTCTGTGAGTTCGAGGTTAGCTTGTTCCAGGACAGCCAGGGCTGTTACACAAAGAAATCCTATCTCAAAAAAAGCAAAAAAAGAAAAGGAAAAAGAATTTGCAGCAGAGATTAAAGCAGGCTTAATGCAAGGCCATCTAGCGCTTGTTCACAAACCATAAAACAAGATCCCACCACCAATAAGATTAAATGCAATTGCTAGTAAAATTCAAATGGCGTTTTTTTCTGTTGTAGAAACTGAAATGGTGATGGGAAAGTCTTAAATTCATATGAAATTTTAAGAGGTCTTACACAAAATAATTCGAGGTGGGGAGGGGCAGATTGAAGACTTATTCTTCTTTCAAACTTCCTACAGAGCTACATGCTGAAGTGATGTACCATCATGGGGCATACAGAGGTCAGTGGTACCCAACTGAGAATACATACATCTATGGTCAGCTGTTTCTTGACAAGGGTGTCACACATTCAGATGGAGGAAGAACAGTCACAGATGCTGCTGGGCAAATGAACATCTAAATGAACATCTATACACAACAGGAGTTGGTTGGTTCCCTACCTCACATCATATACAAAACTAACCCAGAACCGATGACACCCTAAATGTAAGAGTTCAGACACTAAAGCTCCTAAAAAACAAAGTGAGAATCTTCATGTCTTCGAATTGGGCAATGGGTTCTCAGAAGCAACACCCAAAACAAAATCAAAAATTAAGAGTAAAACTGGAACTCATCAAAATAAAAATGACTTTCAGAATAGGAGAAAATATTTGCAAATCTTATCTGGTAAGAACACAGCTATCCAAGTACATAAAGTACACTTAAGACTCAAACTGCAAACAACCCAACTGGAAAATGGACAAAGGGACTTGAATAGACAGGCTTCCAACAAGGACAACAAACAGTCGCGGAGCAGGTGAGGATGCTCATTGCTACTGCTACTCTGGGAACCACAAATCAACCACCACAGGTACAAGTCACATTCTCTAGGCTGGATAGAAGAAAGAAGTGGTAAGTACTGTCAAGGATGTGAAGAAACTGAGGCTTGTACATTGGTGTTGGCAGCAGAAAATGGGCGAGCTGATGCTGGGTAGTGGTGTCACACTTCTTTAATCCTAGTACTTGGGCAGCAGAGGCAGGAGGGCTGCTGAGTTCGAGGCCAGCCTGGTCTATAGAGCAAGTTCCAGGACAGCCAGGGCTACACAGAAAAACCCTATCTCAAGAAAAAAAAGAAAAAAGAAAAAGAAAATGGGGCAGTTGTTATAGGAAATAGTTGGATAGGTGTCAAAGGTTAAACACAGAATCACCATTTGATCTAGCAAACTTCAATTCTAGTATAACACACACTCAAGAGAAATGAAAAGATGTCTACAAAAACTTGTACATCACTGTCTATACAGCAGCATTATTCATTACTCACAGTAACAGAAAAGTAGATGTCAAATGCTCATCAATAATAACAAACAGACAAATTTGGTAGATCCATATAATAGCTAATAGCTATTACTGTTGCAATAATTATCAATATTTGCACTAACATTCATCCTCAGTAAGAATGAAGTACTGGCACATGGTACTTTGTGGATAATCTCAAATTATTATCTAGTTAAAAGGAGAGGCATGAGTATATAAAATTCCCAGGGGCATCGAGGGTAAGGGCAGTGCTGAAAATGTTAGAGGATAGCTGCTCTATACTATGAAGTACTAAACATCACTGAAATCGAGGTTCTTTAACATGGTTAACTTTATGTTACATACATTTCCACCTCAAACTACAAACAAGCTGTAGCTAGGGATGCATCTGGAACTCTCTCCTGTTTCGCAGTCTTAGTGCACCACAGACAGCCCCTTTCAGTCTAGACCATGGACACACTCGTGACAGTGCAGGAAGCTGCTGTGCTAGAAGGTGAGACTGCAGGAATCTGACCCTTTGATTTCTTTCTTTCAAGCAGAACTCCTTTGGAAGAGGCACATTTTACCCATCTTTGTGCATGTGTCCATCAGTGAACAGGTACAGACTGGTGACTCCATAAAGACAAGACCCCAGTTCCACATGGGGTCTGCAGTGCCTCTGTCCATACACTTTATTCTCTGAGAACAGACAAGACTGGGCACGCTCAGGGTGGTTATGGCTGCAGACCATACGCTTTATTCTCTTCATACACCTGTCCAGGCCTCTGGCTGCTCCCCTTCTATAAACATATGTCTCTCCTTCAATTGCCATTTCCTTTTACAAAAAGGCTTTATTTCCCATCAGGGATTATCTTAAACCACAACCAGAATTGTCAACTGTCTTAACTTGTTTGGTTTATATTCACCTATTCTGTTGACACCAGATTATGACTTCCTTGAAATGCAATTTCCTTCTGGGAGCAAGAATGGGTCTTCCTCCCCTCTGGACTCTGACCCAGCACCTCTGCCACTTCAAGATTCAGAAGCTACTAGAAACCAACATAAAGTTCTTAATGGAAAGGAAAAGAGATGCTTCCTATCTAAAGGAAAATACAAAGCCACCGAATAAAATATAGAATAAACTTAAGTATTCACAAATTTGAGCTGTGGGGAAAGATTCCCAAAAAAACACCTGTACATCAGGAGCCCATCAACTGTGGCATTTACACACTGAAGGCAACGAGAGGTTTCCAGACAAGATTTAACTAGCCTTCTGATTTGGCAGTGTTCAGGACCAACAATTACGAAAGGGAGGTGGAGGGATTGTGGCATTGAGGTTTCTCTCAAGCTGTACACTGGGTATTACCACCACCGTCTGGACAGAATGAAGATCTGTCTATTATAAGGGGTGAGAGGAAATAGTAGACTCAGAAGAGCAGACTGTTCATGTGTTTAGTAAGCATGGGTAAAGAGCTAATGCCATCCATCAGCCTCTAACATTTTTATCTAATCATTTTCTTTTTCAAATGTAGCAAACTTCTTTTTATTTTCAGAAATAAAAAGAATGGTCCTGCCCAGTTGGCTAGTTGAGTTCTGTCTTGCAGTACCAGGGTCTTCCTACTCCATCCTCAAGTGCTGGGTTCCAAAGCCATGCCATTCTATGAAATAGAAACAATGGGACTGAAAAACTACAGAATGGATTGAACTGTGACCTCTATGCCTCATAACCTCTTGGGGCATCCAGTAAGCTACCTGTTGTGCAGAACAGTCACCTATGAACCAGACAGCTAACTGCAGCTGGGGAAGGGATAGAACAAAGACTTAACAGGCTCTACCAACAGTCTCCTTCTCAAAGACTGTCCTCTGTGGTGCTTGTCACGTTCCACCCAACAACAGCTGCTCATGATAATCAATGTCTGACAGATCAGAGAAAGCCCTTAATGTGTCGCCAAGGGGCAGTTCAACAGATGGCACAATGACTTACAACCAGAATCATTAATTACAATCTCTTATTAGTCCCAAGGTACTGTGCTGAAATGCTTCCTCAGTGAAAGATGAGCGCTTCAGATAAATGGCCGTCTGCTACTGCTGATGACGTTCCCTTTAGGGTTCTGGTCAGTGCTGAATCTACAGGAAAGCCACACTACTGCTCAGCTGTCTCCTATCTTCCACATTCAAGCTGGCTAGACGGTTGAAGTCCCCAGCAGCTTTACCTATCACAGCTTCCAAAATCATTGCAGGTAAGGCTCTGGCATTCCCTCTCTAGTCAGCTGACCACAGAATGACCAATGTAACAATCACCAGAGCTAGCTCAGTGTTCCCTCCCTCTGTGTCAGAGAATTTTCCTTAGCGGGAAAAGGGTGGCCTTCCGCTCCCTTATCTACTGAGGGGACGTCATGAGATGTTTCTTGCGATCATTATGAGCTATTCTCTGACTCAGACCCCTCTGTCCTTCCCAGAAACAGAGAGGAGAAACTGCTAAGAAACAAAGCTCAACAACGTGGGGCAGACGGAACCCCAACAGCCACACTGATGGCTCTGCTCCCCAAGGACAAGGAGCTAATCTGAATTAAGCAGATGGTGAGGGGATTCTAAACCCTTTCTTGCTGGAGACACCCAGATACATGCTCTCAACTCAGGAAAAATGGGTTCCTGCCCAGTTTGAATCAGGCTACATAAACACAACTGAACTTGTAGAATATGTACAGGAAGAGGTTGGAGGCAGGAAACTTACTGGTAAGCATGTGTATATGTCAGAAATAAACCTCAAAACAATTCAGATTCCCAAATATAAATAAGTAAGTACCCTTTGGTTTTGCTGACCCTTCTGTATCTCAATTTATAATGTTTCAACTCTAAACTGAAGCAATTTTAAGATCCTAAATGCTGCCACTGTTTTCACAATGTGAGTTTTTCTTTCCTGAACATGCTAAAAGCATGACTTCAGCTCTTAACTAGGCTACAGTAAACACAGTTATCCGATGGACACTTCTAGTTTTCAGAAGATAAAAATAAAGGTTAATCCAGGAATAAAATAGGAAGGGCAGGCAGTTTAGGTCTGTTCTGCAATGTACTCACTTCTAGCTTTTTCTCTTTTTCTGACAAAACCTCTTTCTGGTTTTGGGTATACTCCACCAGCATCCGAGCCAGCTGGCGCCGGTCTTCCAGTTCCGCTGCCAGGCGCCCGTTATATTCCGCTAGTAAGAGACATGCTTCATCTACTGTTTTTGAAAGACGTTCAGCTGCCTCTTTGTCTGAGTACAAATAAGAGCAGAAAACAGACAACATACAAATCACACAGGTATGACTGCAAACATTCCTGAGAGAAGGTTCACAGAATCCAAGAATAAACCGGAACCTGCGAACCAACAATGCTGGCCAGCCAAGAATCCAAAGGTGCCAACTCTGTCAATAAGACACATTTCCTAATTACCTGAAGTGAGGCAACTGGATGGGGCAGGAAAGCTGGCAGGCTGAAAGAGCTTCCAGCAAAAGCTCTCCAAACAACCAGCATACAGATATTTAGGGTCATCTGTGAAATGATATCCCTCGCCTCCGAGAAGATGAAGCACTTTTGCTTCTATTACTGCACTAAGAATATGTTTTCCACTGTTCTGAACAGAGCAAGTACTCACTCTTGGGTGTGGAGAGACTGACAGGAAACAGAAGTTGTATGAGGGGCTCAGATGTGGTCTCAGAAACTGACCTGCATAACTCTGTTCACCAGAGAAAAAGCCTGGCATGTGGGAATAAGTTTGCCTCCCACGCTTGCAAAATATAGGATCTAAAAAGGAGGAAGGGTCTTTCAGATGTATGTGAACATGACCCTCAGTAGAAATAGTTTATAAAAACACAAATAAGAAGCAGTGCCACGTATGGTGACTGCCACAAATTCCGATCAGCCTGCTTACACAGCAAGATCCTAAAAACAACAACAAAACAAAACAGAAAAAAGAAGGGGGAAACATATTTTTCTTAGATGTGCACGATATCTTGTGTTGCATTTTAAGTGTCAGTCATCATTGAGCAGACTGATATCACGTCCACATAATGTGTCCTGTCAACCATGCTTTGGGGAAAGAAGAGAAACACTAAGTACAAGAAAGGTATTCTTGGAAAGAAGTGCTGAACAGAGGCTGGTGTACAAATGAGCAGAGACAAAAGGATGATTTAGCCATAAGGAACTGCTGCAATTGTGTGGTGATGCTGTAAGTTTAAACACGTGCATCTTTCTTTTGGGGGCCGGAGAGATGGCTCAGTGATTAAGAGCACTTTATTGCTGTTCTAGAGAACTTGGATTTGGTTCTCAGCACCCACATCAGGTAGCTCACAATCACCCGTAACTCCAGTGCTGGAGGATCCAATGAAATTTCGGCACCTGCATACATGTGGGGCATATAAACTCACATAGGCACACATATAAACATAAATAAAAAAATATTAAAAATAAATAAAAGAAAAAGGTCTTTTGGGTGAAAATAGTAGGTTGATGCTTCAAAATAGAGGTTACCAGAGCTGCCAGCAGTTCCACAGACAGTTTGTCCAGGCAATGGAATTTAGAGGTTCCAGCACAGAGTAGCTATCTGGTCCTTACTTGCCTCTGTGAACACCGGAAAATGAACTGCTGAGGGCTCCCTGATGCCACAGATGAGGTTTTCCTCCCTCCTTGGGTTAGAGAACACACACTTGGGATGAGTGAGCAAAGCAAGGTGGGCAGAGGGCCTGGGACAGAGGGCAGGGACCAACGCAGTGCAGACTGGCAGTGCGAGCAGTGAGCAAGCTGAGTGGCTACCTTCGGCTTTGTCAGCTCTAGACTGCCGATCTCTTTATAACAGCAATTGCTAGACACCTGTGGCAAAAATGGCAAGGAAATACTAATTTTTAAGATTTAAGATAAAAAAAAATCAATTCTCACCCACGAGAACTTGTATAAAGAAACCAGATCATTTATACAAGTAATTGGAACTCAGAAACCACATTTTATCACTTAAGAGTTACACAAAACCACAGGCTGGGAATCAGATTAGTGTCTTGCTCAACCACCAGGGGGAGGGGGAGGAGGAAGAGAAGGGGGAGGGAGGAGAGGGGAGGGAGGGAGGGAGGGAGGGAGAGAGAGAGAGAGAGAGAGAGAGAGAGAGAGAGAGAGAGAGAGAGAGAGAGAGAGAGAGAGAGAGAGAGAGAGAGACAGACTGGCCGACTGTCTAAATGAGATGTCTTCATCAAACCCCTCCCCTTAGGGCTCAGGGAACCCCAAGGTTATAAGAACAAGAGCCAGTGGGGATGGAGGGAGGACACTAAGGAAATAGTGTCTTCCAAACACAACAGGACTGATGCTCATATGACTTCACAGAAACTGTGGTAGCATGCATGGGAGCTGCACAGGTCTGAGGCAGATAGGGCCCCAGTGCTGAGTAGAAGTGGACAAGAGCCCCCATTCCTAACTATCTCTAAGCCCCAAATCTTCACAAAGGAAATATTAGTTTTTTCTAGTGGAGTCTCTCTGGACATACAAACCACATTTACAGGCAGGCCCATGCCCAGCAGTAGATGGCCAACATGAAACGAACTCGATGGTACTTAAGATGCTTTGTCCTGTAATTTGTTAGTTAAAATTCACCTTACTGGTCTTTTGCTTATATATATGGGTTTCTGATTTTCTGTTTTTATATGTTTTGTTTCTTTGTGTGTGTTTAATTATGGTTTATTTGTTCTTCTATTTGTTTTCAAAAGAGAGAAAGAAGGTATGGAGTTGACGGGTGGAGAAATAGGGAGGATCTGGGAAGAGGTGAGAGGGGGGAACTGTGATCAGAATATATCATGAAAAAATTTCAATTAAAAAGGGGGGGTAGCCGGGCAGTGGTGGTGCACGCCTTTAACCCCAGCACTTGGGAGGCAGAGGCAGGCAGATCTGTTAGTTCGAGACCAAAAAGGGAGAGTGTTTTACACAAAAACTGTAGTCCAAATGCAGAAGCAGATATTACCTGGGGTTGACTGTGGCTGTGCTCTGGCCTGCCCTCCCCAGGCCTTGCCTCCTCTATCTGGGCTCAGGAACCCTGATTCCTGGGTTGACTCACTCAAACACTTAATTTCTGATAGTCCCCAAGTTTTCCCCGTCCCCTTCATTTCTCCTTTCTTAAGAGCCACCAGCATAGGAGGGAAACTGTAGCTGTCTCCCACCAGCATAGGAGGGAAGCTGTAGCTGTCTCCCACCAGCATAGGAGGGAAGCTGTAGCTGTCTCCCACCAGCATAGGAGGGAAGCTGTAGCTGTCTCCCACCAGCATAGGAGGGAAGCTGTAGCTGTCTCCCACCAGCATAGGAGGGAAGCTGTAGCTGTCTCCCACCAGCATAGGAGGGTAACTGTAGCTGGCTCCCACCAGCATAGGAGGGTAACTGTAGCTGTCTCCCACCAGCATAGGAGGGTAACTGTAGCTGTCTCCCACCAGCATAGGAGGGAAGCTGTAGCTGTCTCCCACCAGCATAGGAGGGAAGCTGTAGCTGTCTCCCACCAGCATAGGAGGGTAACTGTAGCTGGCTCCCACCAGCATAGGAGGGTAACTGTAGCTGTCTCCCACCAGCATAGGAGGGAAGCTGTAGCTGTCTCCCACCAGCATAGGAGGGTAACTGTAGCTGTCTCCCACCAGCATAGGAGGGTAACTGTAGCTGTCTCCCACCAGCATAGGAGGGAAGCTGTAGCTGTCTCCCACCAGCATAGGAGGGTAACTGTAGCTGTCTCCCACCAGCATAGGAGGGTAACTGTAGCTGTCTCCCACCAGCATAGGAGGGTAACTGTAGCTGTCTCCCACCAGCATAGGAGGGAAGCTGTAGCTGTCTCCCACCAGCATAGGAGGGTAACTGTAGCTGGCTCCCACCAGCATAGGAGGGTAACTGTAGCTGGCTCCCACCAGCATAGGAGGGTAACTGTAGCTGTCTCCCACCAGCATAGGAGGGAAGCTGTAGCTGTCTCCCACCAGCATAGGAGGGTAACTGTAGCTGTCTCCCACCAGCATAGGAGGGTAACTGTAGCTGTCTCCTACCAGCTAGTACTTCTTGGCTATTACCTCACTTTCCTGCTCCCCTCAGTAGCAAATCAGGAGCACTTACAGTCCCAGCAGTCAGCCCCTCTCTCCTATCTCAAGAAGTTCACCCCAATCAGCCTTCCAAATTCTCAGTGTATAACCTTCCAGTCTCTGTTGTGGAATATTTGTACACTGTGTAAAAATATATTGCCATGACTGGTATAATAAAAAGCCGATAGCTAAGAAGAGGTTAGGCTAGACTCCTCTATTTGACCAGGAGTGATTGTGATGAGCTCAATAGCACACCTAGAATTCTAGGCACTGAATCACCTTAAAGTTTGTCAGTGTGTATCATACATTTTTTTCCTTTTAGCAAAGGATCTTGAGTTTACAGCCTATCTCTACTGCTCTACACATACACTATTTGCGCCATGTTGCCAACAGATCTTATTTAGAGAGTGGCCAGCTGTGACACCTCAGCATTTCTGCTGTAACTATTCAGATCACTACGTACATTCTGTTTCAAAAATTCCTTTTGTTGTGGTTTATTTTTATCTATTTATTTAAGATTTTTATTTGTACGAGTGTTTGCCTGCATGTGTGTCCGTATATGGCCTGTATGTCTGATGCTGAAAGCAGTCAAAAGACAGCATCAGATTCCCTGGAACTGGAGTTACAAGCGGTGCTGGGAACCAAACCCAGATCCTATGAAAGGGCAGTAAGAGCTCTTAACTACTGAGTCATTTCTCCAGCCCCAAGATTTATCTGTATTATTTTTATTTATATGTATGAGTGCATGTGAGTATGCCATATGTGTGTGAGTATTCATGGAAGCCAAAAGACTATATCAGATGCCCTGAGCTGGAGTTAAAGGTATCATTAGCTGCCCAATGTAGGTGTCTGAATTGGAACCCAGTTCCCCTGCAGGAGCAGGAAGTACTCTTAATGTGAAGAACTTCCTTGTTCAGCATGCTGAATGGCTTCACATGCCAAGATGGCAGAGCACCCATCACACTGACAGTCTCTGCCTAGGATATAGCGTGACTACAGGCAGCTCCTTCTTTCCTATCTTTCACCTAAATGACCTTCTTACCTGTTATTTTTTCCAGCAAAGACACATCTTGCACTTCCTGGGGTAGGGACGCAATCTTCTGTCGCACAGTAGCATCCCCTGATGCAGCATTTTCCAGATCCTGCAATGCTTTGATTAGCTCCTCAGTCTATAAACAGCAAAGACAAATAATATAATCCATTAAGACATAATGGAGTTAAAGAAAAGTAGCTTGAGGCAAATTATAAAAAACGGTCATTCTTAGCATAAAAAAAAAAAAACCCAAAAACAAACAGGCCAAAAGTCACACAAACATCTATTGTTACTACCAGGACTTTGTGGATGGAGATGATATGGATGGATCCTAAAGACATGAAGTTAATTGTTCTAAGTCTACAACACATAAATAAACCTTTACAGAATGCTTTTTTTAATTAAAGAGCATATTTTTGGCAACTTAATACGGCAACTTAAGAATAGTTCATGCTGCTTAATTCCAAATGAAGCATTGTTTACAGTATAAAACAGTCTATAATATAGAAAAAGACAAAAGCACCAGATGTTGAACAGCTGTGTGTTGACTGATTAAATTATTTTTAAAGTTTGCTGTACAAAGTAAAGATCACTGCCAACATTAAAATGTCAAATGAATTAACCCATTAGGAGTTAAAAACAAGAAAAGCATTTTCTGCATCTATCAAAGGGGCTTTCCCAAGCCATGAGAAAGCCCAGAATGCTGATAAGTGGCAGAGCACAATGACCCAAGAACGTTATCCTGAAAGTCGATGATCCAAGCTCCCACCCTTTAAAGGTCTTAGATGCAAAGATATGACCTGACATTGCTTTTATTTAATCCTGTCTAACCCATTGTTTTAACATTACACAACACATACATACTTCCTAGTTACCTATGTCCTGACCATGTTCATGTAGAATACAGTTAAGATGACATGAGGCCGTCTCATCCAACCAACAGGACATGGACAGCCAAGCATTATGGCATACGCTTGTCGTCCCAGCACTGGGGAAGCTGAAGCAGGAATATTGGTTTTTTTTAAATAGGACCTCACTATATAGCCAGGCTGACCTTAAACTCCTGATCCTGTTGCCTCAGACTCCCCAGTGCTAGTATTACAGATGTGATCTGCCATAACAGGAAGATGTCAAGTTTAAGGCCAGCTGGCATTACACAGTAAGATTCTTATCTCAAAACATTAAAAACAAAACAAACAAAAATGGGGCATGGACTCTGAATAATGACAGATCCAAATTCAAATTAAGATACTTGGCAAGTCACTTAAATGCTACTCAATCTGGTTTTGTTGTGGCTCATTTTCTTTGATAATAAACAGAAGAACCAAACCAAACTTATTTCATATGGGGTTATCTAAGGCAAATGCACCCTTAAATACTAACTCCCTGTTACAATACTTTCAACAGAGGCTATAGTAAAGTAAATTTTCTACTGGCAGTTACAAGACTGTCCTTAGATAGTAATAAGTTGCTTGTTTATAAACAAGAGTGTTATTAGCAACAGGCACAGCAAAGTGATTCAGAACATCTTTATCATGCCATATAGATCTGCTTCTAAAGAATATTTTTCATTTTTAGAAGACAAAACAAATTCCAAATACTTTATAAGACAAACCCATTATAAAGTCATCCTGTGAAAGGCAGGGTGAAGTCAGATGTCTCAGAAGTTCTGGGTGAGCTATTGTACCCGCTGCCCTTTGACAAGCCACACTACTAGTAACAAGCGCCACCTTGTGGCCATGATCTTCAATTAGGGGTCACCTGGAGTTATTTTGTGCCAGGGTCACATACCAAGAGGGGGCCTGCGGAAGGATCTTGGGGAGAGTAACTTCCGGGGTAATCATCATCTTCCTCCTCTTGTATCTGCTGAAAAGTTCGTTTCAGAGACTTCTTCTCTTCTGTTGCTAGGAAAATAATGTGACAAATGTGAGCTGCACGTCCTGCACAAGCATCCCATGCTCTGTACAATGACCACAGGTAAAATTGGGGTGGGGGTGGGGTAAGGTGTTCAGTTTCAGAGATGGCTTCATGCTGACTTTCTTGCTAGTTCTTTTAAATTGGTGTAACTTCTTATATTATTGAAGAGACAAAAAAGTTCCCAGTCTGCCATCTCAGATCAACTCTGAATCCAAGAAAATGTTACTGGAAAGCATCTAAAACTGGTATGTCCCAAGCTACCAGTTAGAACCTTCCTTCCTTCAAAAGAAGTAAACAGTAAAATGGTAAGAAAAATGAGATAATATAATGAAGTAAAGCAACATGTATGAGGGGGACAGAGAACACACTGCATATGAAACAGCTTTATGCTTTCCAAGGATCATTTTAGAAAATAAATAGGAGGGACAAATTCATCAATAAAACTGTCAAAGATTTCAAGTACAAAAATACCCTATAAACTCTTTCTTTAAAAACGGAATAAACCCAATTTTAATGTAAAATAAAAAAAACTATTACTGAGAAACATGATTGATTCTACTGGAAGAAATTACTTAAGTTTTCATTCTAGAATTAACTACTTTTGAGGCTGGCAAGTTACATTCTTTATTATCTGTCCCCTGTGCTTTTATGTGATTATGATAGATGTGTTAATTCTAAAATCATTCCTATTGCATCACATCGGGCAACACAAAACAAGCACAAACAACTGGGGAAATAAATCTAAATGATAAATCTGCATTTGAAAGAAATATTGGGCACGAAGTATGTGCAGAGCATTGTGATGCTTTCTTTACCTTCATCCTTCCAACAACTCTGACAGAACATTCCATTACAAGCAGAAAAGGACCCAGGGAGGTTAGACAACTCCCTGGCACAACACCAAATAAGCACAAGTACTTTTATCTGTCAAAAAGGAGGTACCAGGTACCTGCCTTGGAACTTGTTGCACATACAGGGTAACTCACCAGGAAGGTGCACACACGTTCACTTACATCTCTTATGGAACCAAGGATGCAGCTCCCATTTTCTATCTTACTCATTAATTAGCTATGTTAGACAGGAAGGCCAATGAATAGCATGAATTGTAATTTTTTCTTATAGTTTTGTTTGTTGTATGGAAGGGAGAAAACATCCAGCCACATTTATGATAGAGATTGTCCCTGTTTTGCACAATGCTAAGATGGAGAACAGCTCTCTCAGTTTAGTGAAATGACACCAGTCCCCAGCAGCAAGTACACTTCAGGTCTCATGGCCAGGTGTATTAACTCTGAGTCCTGGGATGAAGTGATTTCTCTAATATTTCAGTTCCCAAATCACAACAATAACCAATCATTTCTTTTCTGCCATGTCTGGCAGTGACAGTCATAGTGTATCAGTTCCTCAGCCCACAAGGACAGGTGAGTGGATAGTTGTGTCACCCTATTTCTCAGTGATAGATACTACATGACATTTCATAAAAATATTAAGTAGAGAATTGGCCATAAAAGTGAAAGCACAACAAAGAAGCTGCAATTAAAGCCATGGTGGAACTGAATCTGAATAGCACTAAGAGAGATGAGGAGTAAGAGCTTGAGTAAGGCTAACTCTGCACAGAGGGCCTCGTGATGCCGTGAGGCTAACACTGCACAGAGGGCCTCGTGATGCCGTGAGGCTAACACTACACAGGGACCTCGTGATGCCGAGAGGCTAACACTGCACAGAGGGCCTCGTGATGCTGAGAGGCTAACACTGCACAGAGGGCCTCGTGATGCCGTGAGGCTAACACTGCACAGAGGGCCTCGTGATGCCGAGAGGCTAACACTGCACAGAGGGCCTCGTGATGCCGTGAGGCTAACACTGCACAGAGGGCCTCGTGATGCCGTGAGGCTAACACTGCACAGAGGGCCTCGTGATGCCGTGAGGCTAACACTGCACAGAGGGCCTCGTGATGCCGTGAGGCTAACACTGCACAGAGGGCCTCGTGATGCCGTGAGGCTAACACTGCACAGAGGGCCTCGTGATGCTGAGAGGCTAACACTGCACAGAGGGCCTCGTGATACCAAATTAGCAGCAAAAGTGAAGAGGATGATGGTTGAAGAAGTGATCCCACAAAAACACTTCACACTAAAGCAACTTTCAGAATGTATTGAGTAACAAATAATGCAATCTCAGCCAGACAGAGGCTGAGAGAGGAATTGAGAATTCAAGGCCAGTCAGGACTACACAGCAAGACTGTCTCAAAATAAAATAAAAAGGGCGGAGGATGTTAACGCACAGGCAGAACACTTACTTACCTGACACACGTGAAGCCCTGTCTAGTACCCAGCCTTCAAAACATATTAAAAAGAACTTTCCCAGTTTTAAAACACTGAAGGCAAGACTGTTCAAACTATTCTTGATACATTTCTTACAATGAAAATAACTATTTCAATATTTCTTCTTTTTGATTTTTTCTAGTTCTAAGAATGAAATTTAAGGACTGGATCTTGTTCAGCTTCATCCTAGACAATGGTTTATTGAGACAGGGCCTTGTTATGTGGTTCAAGCTGGCCTTCCAATCACAAGGTAGCCCAGACTGGCCTCAAACTAACAATCCTCCTGTCTCTGTCTCCTGAGTCCTGGGACTACAGGAATGTGCCACTGGGCCCAGCAAAAGCAACTGTTGATTTTATTGTTTTTCTTTTCACTATATATATATATATTTGTAGTCACTGCTTTAACTGACCAAAAAAAAAAAAAAAAAAAAAGGCACAGAACTGCAGTTTTCTACATGGATTACTACTAAGTTATTTTTGCATAGTTTCAATTTACATGGTCACTTTGTAGGCTTACAAACACTTAATATATATTGTTAAGAGGAAAACCCACTAGCATATGGTTTACATATGAGGTACCCAATAGTACACAGTGCACAGTAGCTGCTTAACATGTGGCATGTGGTATGAACCCCACACATTCAGCCACTACAGAAATAAAAGTGCCATGTGAAATGAGTGGCCACCAGAATAGGAATATAAGATCAAAATAAACTTTACACTGCTGTGGCACTGACAAGGTAGCTAAGTGGTTAAGAACAGAGGCTGTTCTTGCAGACGACCCAAGTCTGTTCCCTTTACTCACATGGCAGCTCACAGCTATCTGTAACTCCAGTTCATATATGCATAATTAAAAGTTTAATAAATACAAATAAACAAAGAAAAATCTTCTTTAAAAAGTTCCACATCTTTTCTTGTAAAGGCAGACTCTACAAGTTGCCTGAAGATAATGAATTACCCATGAATCAATACTGCAATATGAATGAACTATTCAAATTTGGAAATGAGCCTCTGGGGAAGTCAAGGGTGTTTGAAAGGATGGTAGCAAATGACTAGTCATCCAGGTCCTGAGAACACAAGAATGAGCTGCCATGACTCACATACCCAGGGAGCCCATTGAGTGTCTGTCTTTAAAGGATGATGGGGAAGAGAAACTATCTTTAGACAACTGACACCAGCACATGTCACTGCTAGTCTGTTAAAAAAGGTCAAACCCCAAAGGGGCCATTCCCAGCATGGCCACATCTGTGGCTGCTCCCTGTGGTGTGCAATTGTTTCTCCCTCCTCTGTGCTCTTTTCCAAAGCACCTCGTACAGCCTAACACATGTGTGTAGCAATGGCTGAACAGACATTCCAACCCTGGCTTCAAGCTTCCTTTAATTCAAGAGCTCTCCTACTTGTCCCAGGCACTCTACCGAATGAACTGTAAAGCAGGGTACATCTCTCCAAACTACATTTACAGTGCAAATTCCAAAGGCCACAATGCTGTCACTACTGGAACCCAAGGCAAAAAACAGCTTGCTTTTCAGAAGTATTTTTTAACAGTTCTAAGTAAAACAACAATGGCCCAAAACCTGAAAACATTTTCTTAGAAAGTCTTTCAGTTTACTGTAACATATATGTAATTTTAGAGCTGGAACAAACTGTAAAGAGTACTTCGGAGCTTGTCATGCTAACTAAAAATAACCCAAACAGCTGGGCAGTGGTGGCGCACGCCTTTAGTCCCAGCACTCAGGAGGCAGAGGCAGATGGATCTCTGAGTTCGAGGCCAGCCTGGTCTACAGAGTGAGCACAACTAACCAGAGACTGAAAAATCAAACATGTGAACTTACTCTTTAGAGAAAGAAATAACATGAGTTCTTAAGAACTTTAAAATTCACATACATACTTCCTAAGGATACCCTGGGCTCAGTAAAGACCAAAATCAATCTAGACAATAAACTGACTACCATAAAAGTATACAAAACTAGATTTATTATTAAGAAAACCAAGTTCTAAAAGGGCAAGGTACTTATCCAAGGCCCTGCTGTGGTCAATGTCAGGACCAGGACGAGGTATTCCTTAGCCAAGCACAACTCTAAAGAACTTGGTTCTTCCTTTCCCTGTGTGAGGACAGTGCCTGAAGAGCAAAGGGGGCAAAAGAACACACAGAAAGTGAGGAAGTGAGAGCACGCAGCAGGAGCACAAGAACCAGGCCTGCCCACTGCGAGCACTGGATAAATTCTCACCATCGCTCAGGATCATCGCGCTCTGAAGAGTCATAAAGCGGCTGGTGGATCACAGCAGCCCCAGCAGCCCCCACTGCAGCTTTTCATGTGGGATTGGGAGGAGCAAAGACCAAGAGCTGTAAACATGTGGTGATGTTTCTACCTTTGGGTGGAGGGCTCTTGGAGTCCTCCATAGACAGCTTCAGCTGCTGTATGAACTCGCCGCCATACACACTTCGTTCTTGCCAGATGTTCAGCAATCTTTCTAAAGGTTTTTTACAGCCTTCATCTGCCTCTCTGCCCAGAAAAAAATGAAAAGATATAGCTTAAGTTTTTGTTTTTAATTAGGACAGATCTACTTAAAAACAAAATCAACAACTGCCAAAATGATTAACATACTTAAAACAAGAATGTGGTATACCATGGGCTACTTGGACTCCCAAATCTGGACGGAACTACATTCCTCCCATGGTGAGCGGGGAAGAGGCATCCCATAACCCAAGGAATCTTTTTTCCCATCTGAAAGATGGAGGGAATAGGAAAAAAGCCTATATGCTTAGTTCTAACAGACAGGAAAGAAACAAAAAACAAAACAAATTGACCATATCAATTGTGACAACTTGCCTTTTCAGAAGTCATCAATTTAAATAGAATCCTAGACATATACTGGAAATTAAAATAAGCCAAATCTTTAAGGTTTTAAATTTACTACATTAACACACCAACACCTCTACATACATACAAATATGTGCTGAAAGTGTTTTATCCTTAACTACTTCACAATGACTTTCACGCTGAATTAAGTTCCCTGTTCACACTCATATATCTAATGGATAATCCTGGAAAACAATGGAAATAATGCAATTATTTTTAATTTATACCTGAAAGAAAAAGCTAGGTAATTGTTTTCCTGGTATGGTGCTCTTGAAACAGAATACAGCTGACACAGCATTAATCTCCTACCTAGTCAACATATTGGCAGCAGAAAAAGCAGACTTTCTGAAGAGACCCAGGCCCTCTGTCTGCCACCTGTGGGCTCCTGTGCACTCTGTTTAGTGAGAATGCATAAAAGCCAACATCTTAACACTGAGAACCTTAAGAAGGGTCACCTTAGGGATCACAAGTTAGCTCAGCAAACAAATATGCTTGCCTCCAAGCCTAATAACCTGATTTCCATATTCAGGACCACATAGGAAAGGTTCCTGTCTCCCATGAGTGGGTCATGTCTCTCTCCAAATAAATTAAATTAAAATATAAGTATTAAAAATGGGAGATCTTGGGTTAGAGATGTAATTTAGTTGATGTGCTCATCTAGTCCTGGATTCAATCCCCAACACTGCAAAAGATAAGCATGGATAGTAATTTCTACAATCCCAACAGTAAGGAGGTACAGGCAAGAGGACCAGAAGTTCAAGATCATCCATCCTCAACTACACAGTGAGTTTGAGGCCAGACTCAGATATATAAGGCTATGCCAAAAGAAAAGCCCTCCACATCATAGAGGCCAAATCAAATGTCTTCACTAAGAATATCAAGAATACCAAATTCAACTGAGGTGGTAACTCTACCCACCATGAGCTCTGACCACACTTCTGCAATGCCATGCTAATGGCTCAGCCTGGTCTGGCCAGATGTCCTACTTACAAATGACTAGTAGCAAGTCAACTACACTGAGATCAAAGTACTAAGTCAGGAAATGTATAAATTAATTTTTATAATTTTTTTCAAGTCAGAAGTAAGCCCTAGGGAAATGCTTCTCTGCTACATCTCAAAGAACTCGTCTATAAGCAAGCTCTCTGGTGTTTATGCGGAGACACCCAGATATGAATTACTCTCACACCTTCCTCTGTCAGCAGCCTGGCCAAAGCAGCAGCCATTTCCAACAGGTCTCCTCTGACAGCCTCATTACTGCCTTGTCCTCCTACAGCCCACTCCAGCTTTAGTAAGAATTCCAGCTGCTGTGGGAAGGCACTCTTACTTCTTTCCATTCTTCTCAGAACAGACAGTCCTCACAAATCCTCACGGCTTTTCAACATCACCTGCCTACTCTGGTTCTCAGCATAGCTGCAGCAGCCAGCTTTGCCCTGGGAGGCCCCCTCCCTCTTCAGTAGCACTTCCCTAGTCCCCACAGTGACAACACTTGTTGCCCCGCCTTCGTTTTGTCCCACTAGCCTACCTCTCACGTGCTGTGCAGAAGAGCTGTTCACTTTTCCCATATAAAAGCAATTTCTGAGCACAGGGGCTTGTTTTTCCTCCCACAAAGACCATACTGGCTGAATCAATCTTTTTTGAAATTAAAAAATAATGTTTTTTTAATTCTATTTAAAACATTTGACTTCTAACTTTTCTGCAAAGTCATTCAAGTCACAAATTAAACTAACCAGTTTTGAAATAAGTCACTCCAGTGAAACAGACTTCAGCACCCAGAATCAGATATAACTAGAACAAGAAAGCAGTTTGACAAAAAAAAAAAAAGAAAAAAAAAAGGCACCACCTTTTCAGGTTACACAGATTTCATTCTAAATTGAGGATTCTTGAGGCTGGAAATATAGTTCATTTGGCCGTGCTTGCCTAACAAGTACAGAGCCCTGAGTTCAAGCCCCAACAGTGCATAAACGGGGCATGGTGGTGCATGCCTGTAACCCCAGAACTCAAGGGGTGAAGGCAAAAGATCAGCCTTATGTCACGCCTGGTTACACACATACTTTGGGGCCAGCCTGGGCTACACGAAAACCTGTCTCCAAACAAAACAAATAAATAATGTGTATGTGAGAAATATCTAAGTGAAAAAGTAATTTTAAAAATATTTGTTGTTGGGGGAGGAGAGGAGGGAGAGGGAGCTAGGACTGACATGTGAAGCAAGCTTGTTTCTAATTTAAAGAAAAAAAATTTGCTGTTAAGCAAGGGGGGGAAAGAAGAAATAACTACCCACACAATGGGTATGCATGTTGAATGTTTAATACATATTTTAGTTCTAATTAAATTCAACTTATGTGTACTTTTCTAATACAGATGTTCAAAACTGATGAAACTGTGGCTAGGGATGGCTCAGAAGATAAGAACACTAGTTTATCTTCTAAAAGTCCTGAGTTCAATTTCCAGCAACCATATGATGGCTTACAACCATCTGTAATCAGATCTAGTGCCCTCTTCTGACCTACAGGGATACATGCAGATAGAATACTGTATACACAATAAATAAATAAATCTTTAAAAACAAAACCAAAACAAACAAACAAAAAAACTGAACAAGTCCTATGTGTAGTGTGCTCACACCGAATTGTTTCTCCAAGAGTCAGCAGGACATCTAAGCCCTTGCCAAGCTAGGCTTGGGAGCATTCCTTCCTGTGCTTTAATGGTATTTCTTTGAATATATATTTTTTCATGTGTGTGCTCGTGTGTATTTTATATTTGTTTTTGATTTGTACATTAGTCTGATCACATATATAACAAGTCTGTGGTAGACCTAGTAGAAGTAGAATCCTTTCTTCTAAAATGATTGTCAGCTCTTCCCACAATACCTCATGCAAAGCAGGGACAGAAAATGTCTTCATAATTGTTCAGAAAAGAATCGATGGGGCTAGAGGTGGATCAGCAGTTAAGAGCACTTAGTCACAACAACCTCCAGCTCTAGCTCCGGAGAGAATCTGGTGCTTCTGGCCTCCATAAGCACCCGAACTCATGTGCACATGCACCACACAGACACAAACTAAAAATAAACTTGAATTAAGCACTCAGGAGGCAGAGGCACGTGGACCTCTGTGTTTGAAGCCAGCCAGGTCTATAGAGTGAGTTCCAGGACAGTCAGGGCTACACAGAGAAACAGAAACCAAAAAAGAAAGGAAAAGAAAAGAAGAGAAGAAAAGAAAAGGGATGAATATAAATGTTATGTCCTAGAAAGACCTACTGTCAGCTGGTGACTGCTAAAATCATTTGTGTATAAAGTGGTCCCACAAAAAGTATCCAATACTGAAGACTCTGTCCCCAGCCATGAGGGTGCTGTGGATAAAGGTGCTTACATCATCAATGAGTTCACAGATGGATGGACCATTAGGGGATCTGCTTCAGAGGGACCCCCTCCAATCCCTTCCTGTCTTTCCTGGCCATCATGAGGGCTCCAGCACACTCTGCTTCCTTACATTCCAAAAGAGGCAGAGCTGGCAGCAGGAACTGACACCTCTGGAACCACGAGCTCAGAGAGATCTTTACTTCCTTACATTTATCTCTGGCGTTATTTTCCCACAGTGACAGAGCACACTAAGGGACTGAGGTTTCGGGATGATGCTCTACTCACTTCCTACTGATCTTGGTGGTTTGTGTCTCAACTGTGTAAACAACATGGTTCTATGTGAATGACCGCTTACTTTGTAAGAATAATGGCAGAGGTGCCTTCCACAAATCTCAGCTGAGTCTCTTCCCCATAAGAATGAATTCCATACCTGCAGTCACAATTGCCCACGAACCTTTCCCCTTTGCTGATTGCCTGTAGTCCTAGGTGTAGCAACTCACCTGGGAGAAGTACACAGACCCACAAACAACAAAGAAGTATCATGTATTCGGCATGATTTACCTCTCAAGAAGTTAAGTCTAGGATCAGAAAAGATGGCTCAGTGGGTAAAGGTATGTGCCATCAAGTCTGTAATCTCGGAGTTCAATCCCTGGGACTTACATGGTGGAAGGAGTGAACTGACTTCTGAAAATTGTCCTCTGACCCCCACATGTTTGCTGTAGCACATGCACAGACACAGAGTATATATATACACACACAAACGTAATTTTAAAAAAAACCTTTAAGGAACCGGGGGTGCAGGAAAAATAGTTCAGCAGTTAACAGCACTGGCTGCTCTTTCAGAGGACTCAGATTCCATTCTCAGCACCCACCCGGCAGCTCACAACTGCCTATAACTCCAGTTCCAGAGGACCTGATGCCTGTGTGGTCTCTGTGAATACTAGGCACACACATGGCACACATGCATGCAGGCAGGCAAAGTGCCATATACATAAAATAATAAAAAATTTAAAACTCTCTATGAATTTTAAAGTACGTTACCCATGTGTCTATTCAATAATTTCCTCTTGGAACACCTAACCAGCCATCTTAAACGTAACGTGGCCAAACTAAAACAAAAATCATTTCTTCCATCAAATCTTCTTCTCTCATCTTTAGTTCAGTAAACAGCACCATCAGTCCTCCACTTACACCAAACATTTCTTTCCTCACTGCCAACTCCCACTTAATTCCAATACATTGTGTAAATTTTATAGGGGAGAAAACACCATCTACAGAATAAGCATTCAATAAATAGAGACAGCCTTCTCACTGCAAATGTCTTAACTGACCTCATCTTAGCCAACACCAGAGCAATACCTTCCAAACTCAGGCTTTCTTGCCCGTCACAACCCATTCTCCACACAAGCCTTTTACACACACACACACACACACACACACACACACACACACACACACACACACAGAGTATGCCTGCATGTGTGAGCAATTTGAGTATATGTATGTGTGTGTTTCACAGGTGTGTATATGCATGTAGAGGCTCAAGGTTGACATTAGGTGCTTTCCGCAATCGCTCTCCATATTACATATGGAGACAGGGTCAACTGTACCTATAGCTTGCTGATTCAGCTAGTTTGGCTTTTACCCTGAGTCATCTATTCAATCTAATACAAGCCTTTAAATTTTTTAAACATCTTCAGCCGGGCGGTGGTGGTGCACGCCTTTAATCACAGCACTCGGGAAGCAGAGACAGGAAGATCTCAGTGAGTTCGAGATCAGCCTGGTCTACAAGAGCTAGTTCCAGGACAGCCTCCAAAGCCACAGAGAAACCCTGTCTCATAAGCCAAAAAACAAACAAACAAAAATCTTCTCTACATTGTAATGAGACGACACATACCCATTGCCTTATCATACATTAGAGTAGTTGGATAAAAAGATACATCTCCTAATATACTGAAAAAAAATTTTAGGCACAACTTTTGCCAAAAGTGTTTACTCATTATTTTATAAATGGTTAAACTTTTCATGAAGTAGCACAACCATTGAATTGACTGGGGAAAAAATCCTAGATATATTCTTAGGTTTCTTTTCTCTTTAATTTTATCTAGGCTTTAGATATTTACCCTTTTTAATTTTTTTTATTTTTTGAAATTATAATTACACCATTTCCCTTCCCTCTCTCAACCCCCCCTATATACTCATTCCAACTCCCTTTCAAATTCATGACCTCTTTTTAGCTGTTATACACGTATATGCACATACAAGCTTTTTAAAAAAGAAGGGTATTTTATAATGTCTATGGGAATTGTTCCTGCCTGGCATCCTGTCAGAACAGACTCTCGGGGAATATGTAACTGGTCACTTTCTACCTCTCTGAGCTCACCTGGGCTACATCTCACTTGGCTCACCATAGCCAACCACACTGGCTTTCATCCAGTTCTTCTTAAGACGACATGATTACTTCTACCTTAGGTTCTCAAATGTCACTTCCTTACCCACAATGCCTAGAGGAGATCCCACCCTAGAGCACTATTCTACTTAACTGTGTCCATATCATTTCAAAGTATCTTGTTCACTTCACTGTCCTGGTCTGCCTTCTTCCCTGACATCCCCACGCTCTGGATCAGCACATGACACACAAAGAATACCCATACATGTTGAATGATGAATGTGTAACTACCTCCAAACTTTAAAGAAAATAGTCTACTTATAACCATAATATGTTCATAGTTTGGTTAATTAAACTGCTACTCAAATAACATGTACCCTATGAACTGTAGTTGGAAGCTTTTCTCTGTCTCACCGGGTCCCGGTGGACCGGTTTCTCTCTCACTCACTGGTCCCTGCAGACACTTGTTAAATAACCATTCTGAAGCTTAATATTAATTATGGTTGTTTGGCTGATGGTTCAGGCTACTGGCTAGCTCTACATATAAATTAAATGATTTCTAATATTCCATATTTTTCCACAAGGTTCGTGGCTTGTTACCTCACATCTTGCTTCCCCAGCAGTTACATGGCTTCTCCCTGGCTCTGCCTTTTTTCTCTCTGAATCTTTATTATTTCCCATCTAGCTATATTTTTCCTGGCCACTAGTCAAAACAGCTTCATTCATCAACCAATAAAAGCAACACATATTCATAGTACACAAAAGGATATCCCATATTAATGAACATTGTGCTTTCTCTAATTCAAAGATTTTTTTCTTAGGGATAAAGCATCATAAAAATATTGACCATCAATTTGAGGATTAATGGGTCGGCCACCTTGTTCACCATTTGGCCACAGCAAAAGCACATAGGAAAATACTTCTGGCTGATAACATCTATTAGTATTAAAGTAGCTATTGTACTTTCTGTTGTAATGATGGGGTAAAGGAGAGAAGTCTAGAAACATGGTCCAAACTGGACCTTAAACAGACTGGAATGCAGACAGGAGCTGGGGAAAAGTCAGGTAGACTATGCCCAGATGTTTTTCCAATGCCTCCTGGTTCCTTTTTTTTTTTTTTTTTTTTTTTTGGTGACAAGATCTTACTACATAGCCCAGTCTGGCCTCTTGAGTACTGGAATTACAGGAGTGTGTTGGCATACTTGGCATCTGTATAGTTTAATATGTATCCACATACTAGACAAGCCCTCTGAATCTTGGTACCCACCTTTTAGTCCTTTCTACTTGTCCTTTTTAAATTTAAGACAGTAAAGATTATCATTTTTAAATAAAAATGTTAATTTACTACCTCTGTAGGGTAATTCCTTAAACCAGATCTTTTCCCCAATTAGTCACTATTATCCTAATTCAATCAACAAATATTTACTAAATCCCTGCTCAGCACCAGGACAGACCCCAGTGCTGCTGGGTCTTGGAAAGTCCTTTGAAAGGCTATATGAATGCATTTCCTGAACTGAAGGCTGTGCACTAGGCACTACAGGGTGTGCAGCCTGGAAGCTAGGAAAAGAAAGAGTCCTTCCCTACTGGGAGTGTAGTGCATGGAAACAATTAAGTAAAACGTGGACCAGATCTTAGAGAACTTCTCACCCTACTAGGAGTCACAATCACTAAGAGATAAGAAGTTCCCATGCATTTTAACTAGGTAGGAAACTTGAGCTTGAAAACTTAACTTATGCACCCAAAGCCACTCACATGGTGTTTGAGACAGAGCAATATCTAAGGCACCAAACTAAGCCTTATCAAAACAACAAATCCTTGCCTCCAATCCCAGATAGCTGCTCCAGGGGTCACTTTAAGCTTACCAGCTGTTTGAAGGTTCTTCAAGTTAATAATAGGCTCTGCTACTTCTATGCCCATGTGCAGCAAAGCAAGGATCACAGGTAGAAGCAGAAATCTTTCCCAGCTTTAGAAAGCTAGATGTGGTTTTTAAAGCTTTTGGACTCTTAATTTTATTCCAATGAACATTTCAAATCCTTCAAGGAATACAGACTTTAAGTCCTGTCACTCACATCTTCTTAGACCCCAGAACATTTCTTGTTTAAACCACTAGTCTCATTTTCACTCTTCCTAGTTTCTTTTTGCAAAGATTTGTGTATTTTTTGTGCACACTTACAAACATAACTGTCTACAAAATAAAAACCACCATTATCCTCTTGGAAACCTAACTCAAACCCACAGTAAGAAGTGAAAATAAGCACAAGTGATGTAAAGTTTTAACTGATGTGAGCTTTCCACCCAGCTGCCTGAGCGCTCCACCATCCAGCATTCTCTGCAATTCGAGCAGCAGACTCACTACAATCCAGCTCAAGCTTCTACTTTTCCACACTTATAATGACTATTTTTGTAGTGACAGTAATGGCTACTATTTTTGGCAAACTAGAAATTGAGAAGGAAATAAAGAAGTCTCAGTAACCAATTTCTGCTACTGAAGAGAAATTACTAAAAGGTTCCTTCATATTACAAGCTCTGGCTTTTGATCATAAGCTAATGAGGCAACTCAGCCATGGAAAACATACTCAAGAAAGAAATCCCGTAGGTGAATTCAGGGGCAAAAGATGTGTCTGATACCAGAATGAATCTCTTCAGTGTTGTAAAATGTTTACATGTCCAGATTATAGTTAAGGCCCCCCAAAAAAACAAAAAGCAAACATAAAGCCATAATTTGTCCTTCACAACATTCTGTAAAGCACAAAGTTGTCAATTTATAATGGACATTACAAAAACAACAGAACAAAGAAGTGCAAAATGTAAAAGCCCCCAAGTAGAAAACATACCTGGCAACGTGAGAAAAAGCATCCACAAGGACAGATTCAAATTCTCTCGTGAACTCAGGTCCTTTCCTTTTACTGTTTTGGATGACATCATTTGCTAAGTACAGAAAAGTAAGTTTTCTATTTGATTTGGCTGGAAAAAAGAAAAAGAAGAAAAACTTAATTTAAACCAAAGAAATTCTAATTAGTGATGGTTAGGATATTCCTAAAGAACATTACAAATGAGAAGATGGTTCAGCAGTAAGGCACTTGTCACACAAACATGAGGACTGGAATTTGGATCCCTAGCACCCAAACAAAATGCCAGGTGGAGGTAGGTTCTCTGAGACTGGCAACTAGCTAGCCCAATTGCTGAGCTCTGGGTTTAAGTGAGAAATCCTAACCTGCTATTATAAGGTGAATAGTGATTAAGGACGACACATCAACCCCTGGCCTCCACACACATATGCACCTGCACATAAGCAAGCACGTGTGCGCGCGCGCTCGCACTCAAAACATTAAGGTGAGTGTTACCTCTCTGAGTAAATAAGTGAATAAAACAATGGAATAAAATAAAGGAACCCCTTAAAGTTTCTAACATGCACATTTAGGAATACAATTTTGGGAGAATGAAACACAACAGCTTCATTTTTGTGCTACTTTAACACAGGTAATTAATGGGCAGCAAGAATGAAGATAATTCAAGGAAAATTCTTTTTTTTGTTTGTTTGGGTTTTTTTTTTGTTTTACAAGACAGGGTTTCTCTGTATTGTTTTGGAGGCTGTCGGTACAGCCCGGCCTCGAACTCACAGAGATCCATCTGCCTCTGCCTCCCGAGTGCTGGGATTAAAGGCATGTGCCACCACCGCCTAGACCAAGGAAAATTCTTAAAGATAAGTTAAACCAAAGTATTCATTCACTGTGCTGTGAGAACAGACGTCAACTTCACATACAATCTTCATTACCAAACATTCTAGAGTGAAGCACTGAATTAGGATTCAACTTTGAAAGAAAATCTTACAACTGATGCTTTCAACTGAGAATCTTTCCTTGATATGCCAATAACTATAGTCAGTCAATGATACTGACTCTACAGCCCAGAAGACTCTTAAGATACACCAGTGAATGTTTATCTCAAACACAAACATGCAGAAATGTTGTATCATTGTTGAAAATTTACACATCTCAAGTCTGAATATGCAAAATCATGGCTCCCACAAAAGCCATAATTCCTCTCTGTTACACATACAAAATATGCCATTTTCTAGTACTTTATACGGTATCGTATATTAAACCATAAAAGCTTTATGCAATACACCTGAGTTACTGCTGCTTGGGGAACACTACTGAATTTTCTAGCTTCTATGCACATAAGTTCTCAACTCTAAAGTTATATCACTAACATTTTTGCTCCCAGTTTTCTTTTAAAAGAAATAAATATGAATATAATAAGATGCTTCAAAACACTAAGTTTTCTTCAATGTTAAAGAGAAAACTCTAGCAATATTTATGCCAACTTTTACACACTGTGTACCTAGCCCTTACGCCACTGCTCTCAAAGAACACTTCTGAAAAGCACAGCAGGTAGAATATCTGACATTTTAAAACTCAGCTACAAGTCTGGCTATGGTGGGTAGCACACACCTTTAATCCCAGCACTCAGGAGGCCGAGGCAGGCAGAGCTCTGTGAGTCTGAGGTTAGCCTGGTCTACAGAGTGAGTTCCAGGACAGCCAAGGCTACACGGTGAAATCTTGTCTTGAAAGGCCAAAAATAGGGTTTAAAAGCACATTGTAATTGTTTTGTTTGTTTGAAGACAGAGTCTCAATAAATATGCCAGGCTGCACACTAAAGTTTAAACTATACCCTAAAATGCTCACAGAATTAGACAGGAAGATAGTGAACTACACTAGCCATCTAGTAATAACCTAATTTAGATAATTACTTGAGGAGATTGTGGAAAATCTATACCTGTCATAATGATTATTCAAAAGCAAAATAAAGCCAGGTATATTGAGTAGTGCATACCTTTAATCCTGGGAAGACAAAGGCAGGAAAATCTCCATGAGTTTGAGATTAGCCTGGTCTACCTAGAGCTAACAAGTTCCAACGCAGTCAGAACTACATACTGAGACTGGTTTTTCTTTCTTTCTTTTTTTTAAAGTAAAAATAAAAGCATCAATAGTTGGCACAGTATCTTACTGTTGTTACAAAGGTAGGATTATAGCAAGACTGGAGAGATGGCTCAGCAGTTAAGAACACTCCTGATAAGTGTAGTCCTCCTCCCCACCAAAGAAACTTTTCTTTGCAATAGATGAAGACCATTACAGAAAACCACAACCAATCAAAATGCAGTTGCAGATCCAGTCTCACCTACAAAAAACAAAACAAAACCACCAAGCCTGCACGTAAGGCTCAGGGATCAGGAGAGGAGATAGAAAGATATTACAAGTTGGAGGCCACATCTGCAAAGTCTCATCAACGTGACCGCCTAAACTTAACTGATGAGCTGAACAAGGACAACAGCAGACATGCTAACATGGACAGAGAAGGGGCCCTGAGGCGTCAACCCTACACAAAGAACTATAGAGACTAAGGGATGCTGAGAGAGGGAGAAAGTGTCTTTCTCAGTAAAGAACATACCAGTTGGTTATCCAAAACCAAATGGTCAGCCCTGAAAACGTACATATGAGTAACACTATGCAGACAGAGCACGTTTTATTTAGAAATATATATGTGTGTATACATAGAGGTACATAACAACAATTAATAAAAAAAGTTATACTGGTGTGGTGGTGCACACCTTTAAACCCAGCACTTAGGAGGCAGAGGTGGGCAGATCTCTGTGAGTTCGAAGCCAGTCTGATCTACAAAGGGAATTCCAGGATAGCTAGAGATGTATCACAGAGAAACACTGTCTAAAAAAAACAAAACAAAACAAAAACAAAAAACAAAAAAAGAGGCTATAAATTTGGAAGAGAGCAAGGGGTATATGGGAAGGTTTGGAGGGAGGAAAGAGAAAGAAGAAATGATGTGATTATATTATAATCTTTAAAAAACCCTAATTTTAAAAAATGATGCAATTAAAATGTCACATAGACAGAATAAAATCAAGAGTGAAAATAGAAAAGAGGAATATGATACTCGACGTAGACATATTAAAAGTTCTCAGTTCTGATAAGCATCTAATTATGTAACCTAAAACTCAGGGTAAATGCTTTGGTCACTCAGTACAGCTTTTCCTTTTATGACCTTTAAAGAAATAATAACAAACTATTATTTTGATTTAAGGGGAAAAAAATCACTCCTACGGCTGGGTATGACATGACTGTGATCACAGCACCCGGGAGGTAGAAGGCAGCAGATCTCTGTGAGCTCCCAGCCAGCTGGGGCCACATAGTGAGACCCCATCTCACAAAAAGAGCAGACTCACTGCTCTTCCAGAGGGCCCAAGTTTGATTCCCAGAACCCACATGACAGCTCAAACTGCCTATAACTACAGTTCCAGGGCCTAAATCATACTGGGCCTAAAAGAGCAATACAAGTACCTCGTGGTAGCAGCGCTATGACAAAGACACACACTCCACACATCCCAGTACTCCAACACTGGGTGACAATCTGACAAAATGTATCTTCCCACCTCCTACCAAAGCCCATTCCAAACCAGTAAAACTAGTTGCTGAGTAAAGATTGAAGGACTGGCTAATCAAAACATTTTTGATGTGTAGACTGAAGCTACAAAGTATTCTGGAAAAAGGGAACTATTTACCTACATTGTGGCCACAAACAAACACCATAAAAAATAATTTATCTTGGCCAGGTGTGGTGGCACACATGCCTTTAATCTTAGCATTTGGGAGGCAAAGACAGGCAGGTCTCTGGGAGTTTGAAGTTGGCCTGGTCAATACAGCATGTTTCAGGCCAGCCAGGGCTACATAAAGAGAGGGGGAAAAAGTTTTTTGTCTAAAAAAAATTATCAAATAGCATTGTAATACCAAAATATTCCATAAAGGAGAGAAGTTCTGCTTACAATCTAAAGGACCAGTGAATAATTCTGAGAAAGTGGAAAGAATGGAACATATTAAAACAAAAGCAATTCCTAAGTGAGAGGAAATCATTTTTGTACTGCTCATAGGTACTTTGATGACAATTCAGAGGCAATGGCAATGTCTTAGATGGGGAAAACAACTTCTTCATAAACACAAAAGGCCATTTTTAAAAACTCAGGTGAGCTAGAACGAAAGGGACTAGTCAGTTTCAACATCAGAGCACAAACCCCTTTCTGCCTTAGTTTGAGGACATTTTCAGTTCACAAGGGAACCTGGGTAGGAGATGAACACTCACCTCAATGCTTGAGGAAGAACTCTAGTTCTGCAAGATCCAATCTGGTAGCTATCTGCCATGGGTGGCCAGTCAACACTTGGGGAACTTAAATCATTTTATTTAAAACTGGGGAACTTAATCATTTTATTCAAAAGTGTAGTTCCTTTGTCACCATTTTAAATGGCCAACAGCCCCATATAGCCAGTGGCTACCCTGTGGGAAACACATATACTGAGGCTGCCACAAACAGCTGAAGCAGTGCTGCTTAGATCCTTTACTCAATATGAAAACAGTATCAGAGGCACAGCTAAACTCATTTTTAACTAGGTAATAGACACAATTGTAACCACATTAAAAGGCCTTGATGAAAACAAACCCAGTGAGAAAGACATAACCAAGAATGAAGTAAAGGTAAATAACGGGATGGGAGACAATATTCAATAGAGGAGAGCTGGCTGCACTCAGACCACCTTCACTCATTAAGATCACCGAGGCACTAGGTACTTGAAAAAGCCCAAGTCTTGGATAGCAGTCCTCCCTGGGCCCATGTCCTTGCTACAGACCCCTGATCTTGCTGTATCTATAAAATGGGGATAGGAATGCCAGCCTACTTGCTACAGAAGACTCTATCAGATAAGATTAGAGATAAAGGAGCTTCAGCAATGAAAGTAGTCTCTAAATTGCTATTTTTCAAGAACTCAAGCAGGGTACAGTAAGGAATTGAGAAGGCTTCACAGAAGGTTGAGATGGGCCAACAATTTCAAGGTGATCAGGAGATTCTATCAAACAGAACTCAGCAGGCCACTGGCAGTTCTCTCATGTCTCCCCAGATGTTATAGATATATAGTCTGGTGCAGGCTGGGCACCCCAGGCTCTACCTAACTGCCCCAGAGAGCTGAAGGGATTCCTATCTCAGTATAGCAAATCATAACTGGGAGGTTCTGCAAGGGGCCTAGAGTCTAGTCTCCTGGGGAAAAAAAAATCCTGGATTTTGGTGCCTGCATAGCCTCTCCAGTTCAAAGCCTTGAATATACCATTATCCACTTCAGTTCCTCATCTACAACACAGTGTGTAGAGACACACATGGAGTTACTGTCCACTACACCTCACTTCTTAGCCTTCTGCTAAGGAGCCCAGCACAGTGGGAGTTACCACTGGACGTGCTATGCTCACTGAAGGCAAAGACCGCGTCCACCACGGGGCAATCAACAGTCCTGACTCACCACTCTGCTGCGAGCCTGCACTCTGCCTACAGCACACCAAACTGTTTACTGGATTATCCTGGCTTCTTATCGCAATCGGCTTTGTCCAGCCCTGGGGTTTCCCCATCCTCAAAGTTCCTACTTCAAAAGGCCCTGAGAATTAAAAAAACAAAACAACAAAAAGAACCACCGAGTATAGTGGCATATGCTGTTAATCCCAGCATCTGGGAGGCAGAAGCAGGGGGATCTCTGAGGCCAACCTGGTCTACGTAGGGAGTTCCAGGCCAGTGCAGAATAAATAGTGAGGCCCTGTCCTAAAGCAAAAACAAAAGCAACCTACATACAGTGGCACATGATAAAGCCATGGCAACACAAATTATCACATCTCCATTTTCTGTAGAAGGAAACATAACGGGCACAGAGGTTAAGCTGTTGGGGCAAATGGCAAAGGCAGGCTTAACTTCCAAATAGACGCCAGAGACAACTTGCTATTAAGTGTCCCACACAGGGCCTGGAAAGTAACAGGCAGAGCTCACTCAATGAACATCAGATTCTGTAAGTGCAGAAGGCTACCCAATTTACAGGGCTGTTTTGAAGTCTATGGCCAGTGACTTAAATGGAGCAAAGGCTTTGTAAATACAGCTAACTTCGTCTCCATTCTACAGTAAGAATACACAGACACGGGGATATAAGAAACACGCCCAATATTACTTAGCTAGAAAGCGTTTGCGCCAGGTCTCAATGTAGAGTGTCCGACCAGAGACCGCTGGATCTTACTCCAAATGCCCAAAACAGGGTCTGGTGCATAATGCTCCCAGCTCCAAGCACAGCCAAGATTTAAAAACAAAACAACAACAAAAACACAACCGTCGCCAAGTGTGAGGGGAGAGTCTGAGGAGAAAAGCAGCTTAATTAACTCCAAGTCTGGACATTGGAGCCCATAGAACCTCAGATGAGTATCTTACACCTTAATGGGCCTTAGTTTCCCCCTCCAAGAAATGCAATAACAATGTGTCCAATCTCAGAAGCTCAGTCAGAGACCCAGGCCTGCAAAGCGAGGCGTAATTAATAAGAAGCTAGAGGGGTCTGGGCAGCACACCATGGGAGAGCCCAGGGGCGGGGGTGATCACCTTTGCGGAGCTCGCGGTGCCACACGGAGACGATGGGTCCTGCGTGCTTGCGGTGGTGGATGAGCCACAGGGACAGGGTCTGCACGCTCTGCTGAGAGTTGCTCAGCTCTGAAAGCTTCTTTTCCAGCGCTGACTCCGAGAAGGAGGACATGGTGGCGACGGGGAGGAGCGGTCTGGGCCACCCGGTGAGACGGGGAGATCGACCGCACTCGGCCCGGGCCTCCCCTGACAGGCTGCGGGGCTCTCCGCCGACTGACAGACAGCTAGGGGTACCAGCCTGGGGGAGGGGACAGGTCTCCGCAGTAACAGCCACCCGCGCCGCCGCCACAAGATGGCCACCCGACCTCTCACCCCGCCGCCACGGGGTCAAAGGGCAAGGGCCACAGCCGGGCGCCGAGAGGCTTCGGAGCCGGAGGAAAACGATCCTAGGGAGACAGCGGTCTCCTTTGGCCTCGCTCAAGGGACTTCGAACGGGGAAGGCCGAGGAAACAACTCCAGGTCCTCGGAAGCCGAAAGGCGCTTTAACCGCTCGCGCCAGCGCGCCGGCGCAGTAAGCCTCACGGGAACCCTTTCTCCCGCTCCGGCAGAACCTTTCTGGCGCGGCGCGGCGCTCCACTTATTCGTCACTTCCGGCTAGGTGCAGGAGGCGGGAGAGTGAGGGAGAGACTGGAAGACGAGGTAAGAGTGGCGGGAGCGAGAGGGAGTTCGGCAGTTTAGAAGCGTCCAGAAGCGGATCCTGAGGGGACACTGAGGCAGAAAGCGCGGGGCCTGGGTGTGGGAAGGGCCGCGTCGCTCAGGTGGCTGGCCCAGGCTGCACTGTCCCTCCGTGACGCGCGCGCACACACACACACCCTCCCCCACCCCTTACTACACACACACACCTTCCCCCACCCCTTACTCCCCCGGGGCGCGCACGCACACACACACGCACACACAGACACACACACCCTCCCCCACCCCTTACTACACACACACACGCGCCCCTTACTCCCCCGGGGCGCACACACACACACACAGACACACACACCCTCCCCCACCCCTTACTCCACACACACACACACACCCTCCCCCACCCCTTACTACACACACACACACGCGCCCCTTACTCTCCCGGGGCGCGCGCGCAATGACTCAAAGGGTCAGAGGGCTTGCTCTGCCAGAATGAGGACCTGAGTTCCCATCCTGACACTCATTAAAAAACTCAAGTTGGTGGACCAGGTCTGTAACTCCAGAGCTGTGGGACTGAGGCAGGAAGATCGCTGGAGTATTCTACTTGCCAGCTTAACTCCAGGTTCACTGAAAGACACAATCTCGAAGGAATAAGATGGAGAGTGATTGAGCCTGACACCCTCCTCTTCCCTCAGTGCCTGTACCCACCCACCCCCACACACAAACCTTCCCTGATCGTTGTTAAACTTATTTGTGGGCCCATCCCAGCTTAGAAGACATTCCTATAGTTGATGCCTGGTTTTCTTAATTGCTTTGTTCTTAGTATACGTGCTCTGACCCCCTCACTTGGACTACATCGTGATCGTAGCAAGCACAGTGAGAATTGCTATGTGCTAGACACTTTTCAAAGTCTCATGGTTTAACAAAGGTTAAACAGAAGGTTAGAGAAGTATAATGAGCATGTAAGTTCCAAGATCACATAGCGCAGATCTGAGTGAAGAGAGTGTATCCTAGTGTGCCCCAGCATCTGGGATCAAAGCTGAGTTCATAGATGATTGACTGAATTAACATAAAAGTCAACACCTACTCATAATTATAAGCTGGAGTTTTTGAACTAGGTGTGATGGTGCACATCTTTAATTCCAGCACTTGGGAGGCAGAGGCAGGTGGATCTCTGGGAGTTGAGGCCAACCTAGACTATATAGTGAGCTCCAGTCCATCTAGAACTACAAAGTGAGACCCTGCCTAAAAAAAAAAAAAAAAAAAAAAAGGCTAGGGCATTTGAGAGTTAATCTAACCAATGGCTGAGTATTTATTAACTGTCATGTACTAGGTACTGAGTCTATGTATCCATCACATCACTACTAAATCTCAATCCTTGACAACAGTGCTCTGGAGTGGGGATTGTCATCACCATTTGATAATAAGAACCTATCTGAAGTTGCTCAGGCATAGCAAGAAAACGGCAAAACTAGAATTCAGTCAAAGTCACCTGATCACAAGTTCTCCACCTTAGCCAAAGGTTCTTTCATTTAGTAAATCATTTTTGAGCACCTGTGTCTGAAGCACACTGTTTCTAGGCAAATACAAAACATCCCTGTCCTTGGAGCTTACCTTCTGCTAGAGAAGATAGGAAACAGGTATGCAAGTAAAAAATGAGTCAAAGATGACAAGGGCTTTGCATAAAAGTCCAGGAAGCCAAGGGGAGTAGAAAATACATGGGGTTGGAAAATATATAAGTTGGTCACATAGAAGTCTATTATATATGCCCTTCAGAGAGGATAAAGTAAATATTTAGTCAGCTTGCAAAGAATTATCCATAAGCTGTCTTTCAGGAATAGAAAAGATAGTATAAGCAGAATGAGAGAAATCAGAAAGGTAGCTAGAGATGAACCCAGAAAAGTATGGAGGAACCATGTCACATGGGCACATGAAGGCTTACTAAGTAAGGATTTAAGGTTTCTCTGAATAGACGGTAGCAATTGAAGGCAGAACATTTTATTCTTAATTGCACTGTACTGTTTGTTACATTTGCATAGAGGCTTTGCTTACATAAGCAAAGCTGTTATGTAGGAAACAGTCGTGGTACAAGAAAGACAGGAAGACCAGTTTGTCAGCTGTTGTAATAACCCAGGTAAAAGGATGACTCAGACCAGGATTGTACCAGTGGAGGAAGTAGGAAAATGATGGAATATGAAGATGTTTTAAAGGAAGAAATAACAGGATTTGCTGGTAGACTGGGTTCGGATATGAAAAGAAGACAAGGGTTGAGGTGGCCCCAGGAATACTTAACTAAGCAATAGAAGAATGGAATTTCTGTTTACTGAATTAAAAAAAAAAAGAGGAAGAGAGAGTAGCAGTTTGGGGGGCTGAAAGGGACAGGGTGGACATGTTTGGTTGGGAATGCTTATCTAGGAACAGTCAGCAATCACTGGTCAGTGTCTGGGGACTGGTTCTAGGATAGTGCACCACCACACAGGTGCCGCATCACCTCTAGTTCATATATAGTACAATGTAAGTGATTTGCAAAAGTGGTTACATGGGCTGGGGGGTGGCAGTGCATGCCTTAAGTCCCAGTACTTGGAAGGCAGAGGCAGGCAGTTCTCTCCATGAGTTCAATGCAAGTCTGATCTACAAAGTGAGTTCCAGGATAGCCAGGGCTACACAGAGAAACTCTGTCTCAAACAACAAAAGAGTTGTTACATAGTTTTTTAAGGAATAATTAACACTAAGGAGCAGAGTACATGTTCAGTACAATCACAGGCTTTTTTTCTTACCAAATATTTTTGGTCTGTGCTGGGTTGAATTGGTGGTTTAGGACTCACAGGTACAGAGGCTACCTATACAAATACATAGGCAATTGGACTTATCAGCCTGGAATTCAAGGGCAAGTTCTGGGCTACAGATAAAGATGTAGGAGTCCTAAGGAAGAAGGTGCAGAAAGAGGCTAAGGCTTAGGATAGGTTACCATTGAGAGGTCTGGAAGATGGAGGTGTTGTGATTATGCAACTTAGCCTCTTTGGTCTTTTAATATTAATTTTACTAGGGGTTGATGTTCAAGTCCTGCGCCAACCGTGAATTTCCAGAACAACTTTACTTTGTTGTAACCTGTTTGTACTGCTAAAGTGGGTGTCCTGATGTTTAGTTTAGAATGTGTGTGTCTGAAGCCAGGCGTTGGTGGCGCACGCCTTTAATCCCAGCACTCGGGAGACAGAGGCAGGTGGATCTCTGTGAGTTCGAGGTCAGCCTGGTCTACAGAGTGAGTTCCAGGACAGCCTCCAAAACAATACAGAGAAACCCTGTCTCAAACCCCCCACCCCCCCAAAAAAAAAGAATGTGTGTGTCTGTAGACATGAAGGAAATTAGTCTGTAGGTTTTTGTTACTACTGTTTGCGTTAATTAATTTTGTGTGTGTGAGTTCACACATGCATGTCTAGCACTCTTGTGGCTGTTGGGACACTTTGCAGGAGTTGGATCTCCTTCCATCATGTGGGTCCTGGGATGGAATTCAGGTTGTCAGACTTGGTGGTAAGTACCTCCACCCACTGAGCCATTTCTTCAGTAACCCTATCCCCTTAAACACCTTAAAATGTTCTTGTTAATGATTATTTGTTTTGAGTGTTCATGGATGTGTATGTGTGTGTGTGCGTGCTCTCAAGTGCATGCCCATGTTGAGGTCAGAAGACAGCTTTTCAGAGTAAGGTCGGGCCGAGGGATTGAACTCGTGTTGTTGGGCTTGATAGAAGTGCTTTTGCCTGTTGAGCTTTCTTACTGTCTCTAGATCGCTAGCTTTTTTTTTTTTTTTTTTTTTGAGGCTGGGTCTCTATATAACCTTGGCTGTCCTGGAACTCAGTGTGTAGATCAGACTGGCTTCAGATTCACCGAGATCCTCCTGCCTTTGCCTCCCGAGTATTGAGATTAAAGCCTCAGTCTTTAGTTGTGTGCCAGCATGCTACTGATGTCAGAAAATGGAAACTGTTTCTTCCACTTCTCTGTCAATATCATGCAGAATTGGTGTTTATCTATCTCTAAATGTCAGTTAAAGTTTGCCAGTGAATTCGTTTTGGTTTTTTGATGAAGTTTTTAGTGACAAACTTGTTTTCCACAGAAGTTGCAAAGCTTCAGCAGTCTTTCCTAATATGTAATTGCAGTGATTTGATTTAAACCACTGTGTCTCTGCTGTGGTCGGAATATGACTTGTTGGCCCTATAGTGCTTAATGTATTAAAACTTAATCTCCATTGTGGAACATTGAGAGAGCGGGCACTTTGGCATTCAGAGGTATGGCCTTTGGGTAGCAACTGGAATTATTAACAATTAAGGATGTTAAAGTGAAGCTCCCCTGATTAAGTAGCTTTATGTGATAAGGAGGATAACAGACAGGTGCACACGTGCACTCCCCGTCTCTTGTCCTATGAGGCCCTGTACCACTTCAGGAACTCTGCTAGCAAGAAGACCATCACCTAGCACAGCCCTTAGACCTTGTACCTCTAGAACTATGAGCCAGAACAAGGTAGTCTGCCTTTGTGTGTCTGTGTGTGTGTATGTGTTTTAGTTGTATAGCCTTTTATTAGAAACTGAAATGTGTGTCTGTTGAACAACAGGAATGGTTAAATCTTCTGTAACTGCAGACTTGCTGTATTCTAATAGGGATCATTTATAAATGTAATTTTTAGTCTTTGGGTATGTGTGTCTGATGTATATGGATATTTGTGTGTATGAATTTGAGTGTCAGGTGCCACAGCGTGCATGTGGAAGTCAGAGGACAATCTCAGATGACAGCCCTTGTCTTCCACATTGAGATAGGAGTCTCTTATGGTTTGCAGCAGGGTCTC